TTACATATAGCTAGCTACCATAGTTTTATACATTGTTGTACACACTTTACATATAGCTAGCTACCATAGTTTTATACATTGTTGTACACACTTTACATATAGCTAGCTACCATAGTTTTCCTTTTACTGAGAACAAACCACAAAGACCATGAGCAGATATTCTGTAATCCTCCTGGCAATACTGTTCAATTTGCGATAAATAACATCTTCATAAATATAAATGATCTTATTTTTAAATCAAACCTATCATTATCAATTTGAAATTATCTGGAAACAATGCTCACTCACAAAAGCCAACACATGACTGAGTGAAATCAAGGCAGTATAGAGTATTTTGAAAGTGGAATTAATAGCTTCTTATTTTCAAATTCTATTTCATGATGCAGATTAAAACAGACAGAGAAAAGAATCAAGGAGTATCAGCTAGTGAGAGTGGGATCAAGGGGACGTATACCAGAGAAAAATTGAAAGGTGAAGAAACAAGAGGCCCAGAGGGCCTGTATCGCTCACCTGAATATGTTTAAAATAATTGGTATTAAGTAGGTGCTGTAAGTACATATGAAATTTCAGAAAGATCCATCCAGTACTTGAGATATAGCGAGAACAAACTTCAAACAGAGCCCCACCCCTATGCATCCTAGGGGGGTCATACCCACCAATTAAACAAAATTGAGTCCCCTTGACCCAAGAATGCTCCAGACTAAATAAGGATAAAATCCCATAATCCCGATGGTTGAAGAAGGATTTTAAAGGTTTTACCTCTATTTCTCCTATTGGGCCCCACCCTTCTGCCCCTTGGGAGACCACACCCACTGCTTATACAAAATTGAGTCCCCTTGGCCCATTGATGCTCCAGACTTAATTAGGATAATATCTCTTAATCCCTATGGTCGAAGAAGGATTATAAAGGTTTTACCTCTATTTCCCCTATTGTGCCCCGCCCCTCAGGTCCCAGGGGGGCCACACCCACCGTTTATACAAAATTGGTTCTCCTTTACCCAAGGATGCTTCAGAACAAATATGGACCAAATCCTTTCATTCCTACAGACGAAGAATTTTAAAGAATAATTTGCTATGTTTCCCCTATTGGGCCCCGCCTCTCAGGCCCCTGGGTGGCCAAACCCACGGTTTATACAAAATTGGTTCCCCTTCACCCAAGGATGCTTCAGAACAAATATGGAACAAATCCTTTCATTCCTACAGAAGAAGAAGGATTTTAAAGAATTTGCTATATTTCCCCTATTGGGCCC